TTCCCTAATTATACCAAACACTTCCTCAAGAAAATGTCTGCACTGCAAAGAGCCCTCTCTATAAAGTTCACACTCCTTCGCGCATTTTGGAGCATTCTCTAAACAGATCTTAACAGCCTACAAGAGAATAAGGTTATATATTCTCATAATTAGAACCAGAAGGAAAGACCATAAAGAAACTAGAATTAGAGAAGACCTAAGTGACCTTTCTCCTGCATTACCATCTTAAGATATATCTGAGACTCTCAGTACATGGCTATGTAAGAGTGCTTATAATCAGAGTCATAAAAAGCACCGAGCCTCAATAATGTGTCACAGGCTCACAGCATGTGTATCAGAAGTAACTATTTGGCATGACCTGAAGCTCATTAAGGCTCACCATCATGCAGTTAGACCTGCTTGAATTTGTATAAAAGTCTGAGGGTGACTACCAATTGGTTGTTTATTTCCTAGAAAAACCACCTTTCATCCATGCATTATACTTACAGTCATACCTCGTAAGTACATATGAGACCAAGCTCGTCAAGGCAATACAAGATCTTTGTGTAGTCATTAGACATTCGTTTCTGCAATGTCTTAATTTTATCATCCATGTCACTCAGATTACTTTCTACTGATACCTGCAACTTTGATAATGAAGCATCAACCTGTACATGGAAGTTTTTTTAGTATTCACACAAGTTTGACACGCGAAAGTAAGGTAACAATGAACAATAAATTTGTTAACATACATGTACAGCAGAAATACCTTGGACCAGGAGGCTTCCATCTTTTCTTTCAAATCCGAACTCAGAAACCATGCTTGGCCATAAAATCGACAAGTTTCTTTTGCAGAAGGGACACATACTTCCATCTCTGTTATGTCCTCAATAGTATAAATCTGTGTAAGCAAATTTAATGATATTAAAGCATCACCATCAGTAACTGATATATGTATATTGTATAGTAATCTAAATGGAATATTTCTGTATACCTGAGAATCTAAAATGCTTTCAAGTTCTGATAACTGGCCCTCACAATCCTTTGTGGATGAGACACCTAACACACAATGTTGTATATAAATAAGCACATATAAGATTTATAATAACAGCAGGTTTGGACTCAACAATGAACATGAAAAAAAAGCGATCCTCTAGACATAAAAAAAACACAGCAACGGGTTGAAAGAAGAGAGAGCACAAATAATAAACAATAGCTATAGATGACCTTTTTTTATAACAGGTGATGCCGTCAAGCCAAAAATCTTTGGCTTATTACCAGACTTGTGATAAAATTCCTTCACCACAACAAACCATTTGTCAAGATGACCCTTGACTATAAAATATATAAAGAAGACGAAATGCATAACAAAAATGAATTGGAAAAAATTCCACAGAAATGAAATTAACCTTCATTATCTTTGTATAAGGATGGTTTCCAGTAGCCCGATGGCACTCATCAATAATCATCAAGCATACTGCTTCAAAACTCAAGAATGCCTTTCTTAAGGCATCCAAAAAAATCTTGGGGGTCATAACAAGCACCTGGAGGATAATATATAAAACAAATATGCATTAATTTAATAGCCTCTGAAAAAAAAAATTTGAGAAAACTATTTTATTAAAAGGAATCTAACATGACTATCACATGTTGTGCATGTTGTGCATGAATGCAAATATTTTTTATCAACATGAACGCAAATCTTTCAAGAATTCTAGTTTACATAGTGTAAACAATGTAATAATTTCATGTTATTAATTAGAAAGATAAGAACACTCAAATCCTTGGAAAGAAGAGTAAACTGATACAGATTGCGATAGTTTTCAATATTACTCAACAATCAACATGAACCAAAAGCAAACTTAGATCATTACCCTTTTTTACTTCTTGTTCTGTGTTATGGGTTTATTTATTTAATCAGTTTTTTCCCATTGTCTTGTAATTGCCAATTGGTGGCTTTGTTTCATCCGGTTTTGTTCTCTTGAAACTCTTTAGCTCAATGTGTGATATATTGCAGTGAATCCATAAAAAAGACGAAAACTTTTGACCAAAAAAAGAAGAAAACTTACATCATGCTCATTCATTTTCTTTTCCCAGCGCTCCATGGTCCACGAATCAACTCCCAACGCTCCATAATACTCTCCTACGTTATAATTTGTGCTTTCTTTAATAACCTTAAATTGCTGCAATCACAAGAACACATAATCCCAATAAGCTACCAGACCACCAATGAGCCACGTTGCATAAAAAGCACAAATTTACAGGAACAAAATTAGGAAATAGTACCTGGTGAACAAGATGAACAGTTGGAGCCAAAAAGATAATCAATTTTTTGGCACCACCACTTAAATTATTAGTTTGGCAGCCTTCGTAGTCTCTGATGAGCATCACAGCTATCATTGTCTTCCCGGAACCGGTCTCCAGCACCGCTATCGTGTTCCTCCGCCTCGCGACCTCATACACCTCCGACTGATACCTAAAAATTCACGCCGGAGAAATTTACATTGTTAAAAACAAGCCTTTGAATTTAGAGAGAGAAAGGATTAGAGAGAGAGACCGTCTGGGACTGAAGTTCTTGGAAGATTGCGGTGACTGATCATCATCAGCGGCATGACCGAGTGGGTTGGAATTGGATTCTTCTACTTCCATTCCGTGAAAAGCTCCGTCCTTTGATTCTGACTCGGATTCCGGCCGGGAATGCAATGCCGGACGAAGAGGGGGAGAAGGTGAAGAACACGGAACTAGTGAGCCCAAGCAATTTGGTACTCTCTCTTTAAGTGCTTCTTCAGAGTAACGTACAGGGGAGAGCTGACACTCTCTGTACCGTCTCTCGCAGGTCTGTGTGGGTTTTGCTAAAATCCACCAACGGTAACGTAGCGGGAGACGACCTCGTATTAGACGGTGTCGTCTTGTGAGTTAGTGGAGCCCGGCGCTTTAATTGACAGGACAAGTCACACAGGAAATTGTTATGACGGTGACCGCTTCCAATGCGGGCCCTCCACAGGATTCGGTGCGAAAATCGGGGACAAAAAACTTAAAAAGGATTTTTAGTTGTTGGGTCACGAGCTTCTTATTTTAGACTATCTTCAATGGTTGGGCTAAAAGTCAAATTTTTTAGCCCGAAAAATTTAGCTTTTAGTCCAGAAACAGTTTTTTTGCTCCAACTGTTCTAGTCTAAAATTTTAACCCGGGATTATTAAAGAATGAACTTAGGTTTTTTTTTGTTAAATTAAATTTTTTAAAAATAAATAAATATGTAGACTATCGTAAATTAATTTTATGAACATTTTAATCTAAAAAAATTTAAATTCCGATAAATATTCGGTGGAGTCCATTCCGATTTCTGGGCTAAATTTTGGGGGGAATTTGGCATTGGTTTAGCATTTAGCATTTAACATTTAGCCCAAAATTTTCCCTTGGGTTGGAGTGGGTTTGGGGGGAAATTTTGGGGGGTAATTTGGCTTTTAGCCCACCATTGGAGTTGGTCTTATCGGGACTAGGATTCTCTTTTTTTTTTTTTTTTTTCATTTCCTTTCTTTTTCTATTTGAACAATTACAGTTAAATCACGTTAACATTTTATATTATTATTATTATTTTATAAAAAGAGAAAGACAAACTAGAGAATGTGAGAGGAGAGGATAGAAGGGGATGAAAAGAGATGGAGAGAGAATCCTAATCCATTTTAACGACCTAAACTGATTATTTTTCAGTTACATTAAATATTTGAGGTGTTTAATTGAGTTTAAAAAAATTGACACTTTATGTTCATAAAAACATAAATTAACGGTCTAATGATATTCTTATTCACTTGTAAATTAACGTTAACATCTTATATTAATTTTTTTATATATAGAAAAAGAAAACAAACTAGAGAATGTGAGAGGATGGGATGGAAGGGGATGAAAAAAGGAAGGGAGAGAATCCTAATCCATTTTAACCGCCTAAACTGATTATTTTTCAGTTAAATTAAATATTTGAGACATTTAATTGAGTTTCTAAAAAATTGACACATTATGTTCATAAAAACATAAATTGACGGTCTAGTGATATTCTTATTTACTTGTAAATGAGAGGTCTAGGTTCAATTCTCACTAAGATCAAATTTAAACAACATTATTGCTAGCCCATTGTAGAGCTTAACCCACTATCTCACTCCTTATAATAAATAATATCGTTTGATAAAAAATAAAAATAAAATCACAGAAATTTCATCGTGACAATAAAATAGACAACTGGTTTTGAAAATGAATTGATTTTTTGTAAGGATAATCTATAAATAAGGACTTAAAAAAATAGACAATTCTAATACGTGGGTTTTGTCACATCCCGGCCCAGGACGGATCACTTCCCGGGCCCGCTCCACCACCGTAGCACGATATTATCCGCTTTGGACTTACCATTCCCTCACGGTTTTGTTTTTGGGAACTCACGAGCAACTTCCCAGTGGGTCACCATTCATGGGATTGCTCTAACCCCCTTCTCGCTTAACTTCGGAGTTCCGATGGAACCCGAAGCCAGTGAGCTCCCAAAAGGCCTCGTGCTAGGTAGAGATGGGAATATACATTTAAGGATCACTCCCCTGAGCGATGTGGGATGTTACAATCCACCCCCCTTAGGGGCCTGACGTCCTCGTCGGCACACCACGGCCAGGGTTAGGCTCTGATACCAATTTGTCACATCCCGGCCCGAGGCGGAACCACTTCCCGGGCCCGCTCCACCACCGTAGCACGATATTGTCCGCTCTGGGCTTACCATTCCCTCACGGTTTTGTTTTTGGAAACTCACGAGCAACTTCCCAGTGGGTCACCCATCATGGGATTGCTCTAGCCCCCTTCTCGCTTAACTTCGGAGTTCCTACGAAACCCGAAGCCAGTGAGCTCCCAAAAGGCCTCGTCCTAGGTAGAGATGGGAATATACATTTAAGGATCACTCGCATGTGGGATGTTAGGTTTCATACGCAATTTGCTTGAAGTGAAGGTAGTCGTACGGAATTTGATAAAACCTTAAAATGTAATGTTTGTAAAGTACTTAGAGAAAACTTGTAATTAATTGATAAACAAACGAATTATGAATTTATACTGTTACCAGTAATCACCACAAGAACAAGTTCCATCCTTGAACCGATGGAAGCGATTTGCATCTCTCAAAACAATCTCTCTCTGATAAACCTTTGATATGTATTTCACTGCATTATGGCAATCTCCACAAACTCTCAGGTTTTTTATCACCCGAATGGCGGCCGACGGAGGAGTGCTTATGAGTCCGTAAGCTATTGCTAGCTTCTCACTGTGGTAGTACAGAGACCGCTCTTTCTCCTCTTCTTCCACATCCACCAGTGCAAACTCCGTATCCGGGACGTACCCTTCTTCCCCAATTCGCTTTATCATGTCCTCCACCTTGTCGTGTATGAGATCTGCTTGTGGATGGGATTTATCGTCTACCACGAACAAATGTACCTTGTTCTTCACGTCTATCCAGCTGAAACCGGGTTCTTTCTTTACATTCTGTTTCTGCATCATTGCTCTGGCATCATTTACCACATCCCATTGGTTGGCAGCCGCGTAGATGTTGGATAAAAGCACGTAGGCGGAGGAGTCAGATGGCTCCACAGCCAGGAGCTGTGTTGCCACTCGTCTTCCAGTTTCAGTGTCCCCTTTAACTCTACAAGCACCTAGCAGGGCTCTGTACATTGAGGCGGAAGCTTCAAAGGGCATTGTTGCTATCAGTTTCTCAGCCTCTTGGACTCGACCTGCGCGGCCAAGGGCATCAACTAGGCAAGAGTAGTGTTCAATCTCAGGTTCAACGCCGTAATCTTTCTCCATTGTAGAAAAGTACTCATAAGCTTGGGAAACTAAACCAGAATGGCTGCAAGCAGAAAGGACTCCAATGAAGGTTACTCTATCAGGCTCGATGTTCTTCGTTTTCATGACTTTGAAAAGGCTTAGTGCTTCTTCAGCATTTCCGTGCTGAGCTAAACCGACCAACATGGCATTCCACAGGGCGACATTCCTAACATCCATCCTCCTGAATAAACGATAAGCATCTTCTATGTTGCCACACTTGGCATACATGTCAACAAGTGATGTTGCGACGAAGGGGTCTGAGGAAAAATCCAACTTTATCACATCAGCGTGTATCTGTTTCCCTTGTTCTAATGCTGCCAGACAAGAGCTGGCTTTGACAAGCGTGGCAAAGGTATATTCATCAGGCTCCACTCCTGACTGCCTCATCTGATGGTATACAGAAAGAGAGCGCCCTTCATCTCCATTTTCTACACATCCTGAGATCATAGTTGTCCATGCAACACCATCGGGTGCAGGGATGTAATTGAACACTGTGTGTGCATTTCCCATGTCTCCACATTTGATATACATATCTAGAATTCCGCTGTTAACACATAAATCTGAAACAAACCCTGTTTTTATGGCATGAGCATGAATTTGCTTTCCCGGTCCCAAAGCCACCAGGCTACTAGCAGCCTTAGCCGCAGTTGTTAAAGATATCTCATCTGGCCTGTGTCCACCTTCGTGCATCATCCTCATAAGGTCCAATGCATTGTGACAGTCATTACTGATTATGTATCCGAACATCATTGCATTCCAAGAAGCCAGATTGAATTTAAGTTTGTTTCCAAGAAGGACCTCTGCGTCCTCCATGTTTCCACTTCGAGAATAAACATCAATAAGAGCTGTCGAAACAAAACTGTCAGCAACAATACCGGATTTTATAGCATGAACATGAATCTGCTTACTGGCTGACAACCCTTCTTCAAGTGAGGAGCAAGCCCTTAAAACACTTGCAATAGTAAATTGATCGGGTCTCAAACCATCATGTAATAAGCCTATAAATAAGTTTACCGCTTCCTCTCCTAAACCACTTTGCGCACAACATGATATCATCGAGTTCCAGGAAATTAAGTCCACTTCTTTCATGCGATTGAACACTTTTCTCGAAGAATAAACAGAACGAGCCTTTGAATACATGTTGATAAGGCTATTTGCAACAGAAACAACGGAATCAAAACGTGATTTCAAAGCAACGCCATGAATCTGTTTCCCCAACTCCAAGTCATTTACACCTGCAACCGCAGACAGAATAACAACTAATGTTACGCTGTCAAGCACTACTTTTGATCTTACAATATTTCTAAAACACTCTACAGCAGCCCAATTTTCACCAGCTTTAACATACTCGGACAATGTCTTGTTCCACGAATATATGTCCAATGATTCCGACTTAGTATCATACAAAAACAATTTCATTGCATATGCTTGAACCTGCTCCATGTGCCTCTTGCCTTCCAAAGAATCAATTTGGTCAATCCCACTGAGAACAGAACGCACGCTAACATAGTCGGGACGCAATCCACTGCGATGAAACGCAGAGAAGAAAGAAAGTCCTTCCTCAAGACCCATTTCCACATATGCCTTAAGCATTGTATTCCACAACACCACATCCCTTTCCATCATCCCATCAAACAACACGCGGGCAGCCTTAATTCGTCCGAGTTTAGAATATATATTCACAAGAGCACCAGAAACAAACTCATCCCACTCCAATCCAATCTTAACAGCATACCCATGAACCGCCTCCGAAGCCCAAACATGCCCTGAGAGCAAACACAGCTTCAGAACCGGCGCCAAAGTGAGCCGACTGGTAAAAACAACAGATTCACGAAGACGCCGGAAAAGGCCAAGACCCTCCTGAACATTGTCAGAATCAGAGCCCGCAGCCTGCGCATAGGCCGCTAGAATGGAGTTCCAAGTGACAAGGTCTCGGCCGGGCATTTTATCGAACACGCGGCGTGCGGTTAACAGACACCGGCATTTGGTATACATGGTGATGAGGTTGTTGGTCAAGAAATGACCCGGGTCGTCGCCGGAGGCTATAATCAGCGCGTGAACGCGCTTCCCAAGCGGCAAGTCTGCGGCGGCAATGGCAGCGCGGAGGACGGAGAACCATTGAGAGGAGGAAGAAGAAGACGGGGAGATGGGAGAGGAGTGAGAGAGGGGAGTGGAAAGAGAAGAGAAGGCGAAGAGAGAGAAAAGAGATTGTGGGTGTGGAGAATTGGTGAGGAGGGAAATGGATTTGGGACGGAGGTGGGGTTGCAATTGCATTATCGTTACTTGGTTGCATTGTCTGGTTTTCCCTCCGAAACTCAAGATTCTGGTATTTGTACTTCGGAAGACCTAATTGAGTTTCAAGTGTCTAAACTATTTATTTCACGAATATATGCACAAATAAAAAGGGAAGGGAAAATAAGACAAACATATCCCATCACCTACTTAGAGATTTCGAAATCAATTGCATTATCGTTACTCGACTGTTATATCCACTTTAATGTCTTAATTTAAAGGAAAGGGAAAATAAGACAAAAGAGTGAGAATAGCAACACTCAAAATAAAACTCAAAACACTTTAAACCATAATTTGCATACGGCTTATTGTCGGTTTACTTGCGAGTATCAGTTAATTTCATTGGAGGTATGGTTGTGTCACAGCTTAAAACTTTAGTGCTTGGTTGTTTTTTGTTTTTTTGATACATCGATATTTTTACACTAAAGAGAAGAAGTTCAACCAAATCACACAATGAACAGCTAATTTGGTGTCGAATTCGTTATTCACGAAATTCGAATCTAAATTCTCATTTCCAAGTGAAAAGGAATAAAAAATGCCTTAATAAGGATGTGAAGATTTCGCTTGTCAAGAGGCACATAGCTGATGAAGCCGGTCGAACTCTGGTAAGCCGGGAAAGGAACCGGAAAAGGGAAATTAAAAAACCGCTCCAGGTCGCTGGGGAAACATGTTTCATTCTGAATGGCACAGGGTATAACTGGCAAGGTGAATTGTTCTATCATGTAATTCAATTCTATCAGTTACATCTGAGGATCAAAAAGGAATTTAACAAAGAAATAAAATTTTAAGATACAAAAAACGCAAAAGAGGCAGGGCATCTGCTAGTGTAGGATCATTTTGGCTACAGAAAACGCAATCCCTCGATCAACTGCTCCAACTTCTTTTTTTTTTCTTTTCGTTTTGTCGGAATTTTTCCTTCTAAATTTCCCATCCTTCTCTTTGTTGTTTTTTTTTTTTCGTTTTTCAGACTTGGACTAAACTTGTTTTCTTCCCATGTATAGATACAAGAATCGCTATGACGACTACGGCTTCACGGACTGTGCTGTGCTAAAAATATACTCTACCTCACAAGTCATCTTCGTGGCTCAGTATAACAGAATTCGGAGCAGCCCTGGCTGTGGTTCAGTGTAGTCAATGCCTTCTTTGAGTAGGTATCGCTGTACAGCTATTGGGAGCCTTGCCGGTGTGCCAGAGCCCCTGGTGTGGTGGCCAGTTCCCACACATATACAAACCAGAATACCAGGCTCTCCTGCTCTGGTAACGTTCCTCAACACGCTCAGCTCAGTGCTCCAGGACATGAAGGGCTTCACTTACATGCAGCCCGTGCAGGTCTATCATCCTCTCTTGTGACCTCCCATTGCCCTGCATCTCTGGAGAAACTGGGTTCCTGTGTTTTCAGAAAACGGTATGCAACAGGAAAAGAAAAAAAAAAGGCAACCAATTAACTTACCAAAAAACAAGAAATACACATGAAAACTAAGGTCGTTGACGGTGAATGAGGAAAAAGGTCAACAGGGTTAACTCGTTATCAACTCATGCTCAGTACGAGTAAGTAGCACTCTACTCGTCGAGACCCTTGTTCAAGTTGTCTCATACAAACACAGAACATCAATGCTTAGAGCCATTCTCAGATCAAAATAACTCCAAATTCAGGCTGGTGGTAAAATGTCACACACGGTATTCATATATTCCCTAAAATTTCCATCTTATCCAAACGACAAAATTAATACTCAGGGCATCCTCTGCCCACACGAACCACAAACAGTGGGGGATAACAAACCTCTGACGATATATAGACTCTTGAGCTTTTTCATGAGCTTCCTTCATATGCATGTTGTGCAGCTGTCCTTTAACGCTCAGCTCCTTTGCTAGAGTCTTGTTTCCAACAAGGTATGCTTGCCGTGCCTGTTTATTAATAGGAACAATCAGGGTAAATTTGGTTCACAGCAACTTTAGGTGAAAAACTAGTAGCAGGGATTGGAGTGAACCCACAATTCTTATGTGGCTCAACATTCATGCATGGTAGAAAGGAAAAACATGAAACTGCAGTGCCATGCCGGCATGACAGTATCATGTAGGAAAAACACTCCTACAAATACCTATTGGTTATATACACATTTGTTTCAAACCCATGGAAGGTGCACACCCCCCATGTGCTGCTGTGGTTTGTTTCTTGGCCACATATTTTGATTTTCAATGTTGACATCGAACTTAGCCAAACAGCATTGCTGGTCAACTCAATAGAGTCAATCACGATAGAAAATTAAATCTACCGAGATGTCCATATGTGGCACCAACACAATTTTTAGCATTTAAGGCTTCACTGTTAACGTAAAGTGAGAAGGATGTGGCAGAAAGGGACTCACGTTTACAGAAACAGACCATTTAAGAACATCGAGTACAAACCTGCTCAAAGTATGCATTACGTAGGAGTGCATGGTCCCGAGCTTCATCCCGCAGATCAGAATACATATTTGCTGTCATCTCAACAATGTTAAAAACATATAGATCGGGAAGGATGTCCATGACTAAATAGACATAAACAGAAGTAATTTGGTTGACCAAGGGACATTACCAACTGCATCTCCAGTTTCAAGCCAAACAGGCGCAGTCCGAGGTGAACCACGATTCTGTGACCTGTCGCTGTACATGCCTCTTCCATGCCCAGTACTGTAAGTGCTATTCAAAAGCTGGGAACGTCTGCTTGAGCCAATAGCAGCATCGGCAGAACCATTTCTCTCATACTTCCATCCAGAATCCTGGGTCGCCAATTTCCTGACAGCTGAAGCAAGATCAATCGCACCTCTAGTAGGAATTGATGAGCTAGACTTGAACAAAAGCATGTTGTCCTTGTCAGAAGATCGATAAGGATTGCCACTTTGGAAATCATCATCTCCGGCATATTTTGAATGACCATGCTGACCATCTGTTGGTGTAAGTGCAGGGAAGTCCATTGAGCTAAGATCGGGAACTGACAAGGTCTTTGAGTTCAGATTCTCATTAAAACCACCATCAACTTGAAGCTAGAATTCAAAACAAAAATATCGCATCAAACACTTCAACTCACACACAATGAAAAGGATATATAGTATCTACAGAATTAGCATGAACAGTTTCAGAAACATGTTTTCTTTGACTTGATTTTTTGAAAAACACAATATTTAACTTTAAAGAGAACTATTAACTGACAACAATCCAATGTAACAGAAGGCATGCAAGCTGCATTGATTTGAGGGCCAAAAGCTTATTCTTCAATTCAAATAACAGACGCAAGCATACCTCCAACTGAGTTAGCATCTCAACAGTCAGGTTCAAGTCACAACCATTGGCAAAGTAAACTCCAGCAAGGCTCTGAGCAGAAAAGCCGGGGAACTGTGAAGCCAAAAACTCAGCAGGGTTAATATCCGCACCTTCCACAATTGCATGCTCACCCAACATATCATTCATGAACCCGTGTCTAGACATGCCATCATATGGATACTCCTCCTGACCATTGCTGACAAACTGATTGCTGTTCAGAATCTGCTTATCCCAAGGCTTAGGTGACATATGAAGGAAACTGGCCGATGAAAGATCCTCCCCCCCAAAGGGAGGTGCAGAAGCTCTCAACTTTTCCGAAAAGCTATTGCCATTAATATGTGACTCGTTTAATAAGTATCCACTGCCCATAGAGGCAGGAAACCGTGTTGCTTCAACATCTTCGTGTAAGGACAAACCCGCTAAAGAGAGGTTCCCAAGGACTTGCGACTCATCTTCTCCCATGACCTTAAAGTCAGGGGTAATATCATCAGGGAGCTGGTGGCGCCAATATTGGTGGGCCTCGTCATCGGAATTATTTGATGTGGAAGATTCTGTTCGATCTAGTACTGCTTTTCCAAATGTTCCAGAAGAAGAAAACTTTGTTGTGGCCTGAGCTGCGCTGGTGCTTCCAGATGACGGAGATCTGAGGGAAGAGGGAACAAACTCTGCCGCATTGGGATTCAACGCAGTTGCCTTGTTTGCAGTGCTTAGTTTGGTGTCGTTGGTAAAGGATCCTTTCTTGGACAAGCTCATTATTTACGGAAATGGAAATAACTAGAAGTCTACAACAGCTTTGAATAAAAACACAACTTGATTTACATTAAGCTTCAACCAAACCCTGCAAAACCGTCCATCGAGTGTTAAAATTAGTCCATTGACCCAAAATTTCCCCTTCCTGAAAACCAACTCGCAATTCAGCGAGTCCGTCAGTCTGCGAAAAGTTAAATCATACATACATCACCATTTTCTAATATACAACAAACCTAAATTATTGTTCAGAGAAACATGCTTAAACCCCTAAATTCAATTTGTTTAAAAAATCAAACAAAAAAGTTCAATTTTCAGAGCCACAATATAACACAAAAAATACAATCTCAGACATTAATTGTATCCAAAGCTCAATTAATTAAAACCTGATTTGGACAGTACTACCATATTCCACCGCAAAATCTAGACAAAAATCAAGATTAAAAGATAAACAATAAATCATGACTACTTTTTACTCAAGCAACCAAATTCAATCGATCACAACAAATTCAACGCCATTAAATATAAAAAATATATATAAATAAAATAAAAATTAGAGAAACGAAAACAATAAAGCTGCAAAATTGAACACAAGAAGCTCAAGATCCGATTGAATGAAGTAGCAAGAGTATACCTTTTCGTACCAAATCGAAGGGATCCATCGGCTAAAGATTACACCAACTAAAAAAAAGAGGAGAGAGAAAGTTCGAGAGAGAGAGAGAGAATCGAAGATTTGGGGGTTTTGTACGGAGAGCTTGGAGAGCTGTGTCTCCAGTATTATCTTCAAGCTTTCAAGGCTACCTCTCTCTCTCTCTCTGGTTTTCTCTCTCTACTTTCTCTCTCCTCTGTGTTTTTGTTTGAAACCCTCTGCGGGCTAGAAAGAGAAAAGGAAAAAAAAAGGGCTAATTCGAAACACCACTTCCACCACCACAGAAATTTGTACAGGACAACCCAAACCCTTCGCCACTCGATTTGACCTCTCTCTCTCCACTTTCTCTCTCTATCTCTGTCCAAATTGTACGCATTATTGCTTTTATTTTAATATTTATTTGACGTAATTCGGAATCGGATTTTAGTATTTTTTATTTTTATTTTCTTTATTGTTAGTGTCAATTTTGAAAAATGGTTAGGACTTTTTTTCAAAAGACTTGGTAATTCGTATTTGGTTATTAGGTTCGTGTTGACACGATATAAGAGATTAACTCAACATAATTATTTTTTTTTACAAAAAATAGATCAATTGGTGATTTAGTAGTACAGTGTAAAATAAAGATTGAAATTTTTTCCTAAACATTGAGTCACAATGTGATGATTAACCTGATTGATTATTAATTACGTTATTTATTTCAAATCCAACGTTGCACAATTTTAACACGTTACATGATAAAGAAATGATGAAACTAAGTTCTATTTTAGCATGTTATATTTGAGTTGACTAAAAACTAATTGATGCGATTATGATTTGAGCATAATTATAGTCAACCAAAACCCATTTATTTTTGTCATTTTCTAATCGAGTTATCGTGGTGAGTACTAAATAGTCATCTCAAGAGTACAGCTTATAATTTTTTATCAAAATACCAATTATTAATTCTCTAAGTACTTGAATTTAAATTCATGTTGGCAAATCTTATTTTATGCTTTAATATATAATTTTATTTGTTGGAATGGTCTTTAAACTAAATAATCAAAGAACTAAATAAACAGTAATTAATTACAAAACTAGCTAGTCAAGATACAAAACTAGCTAGTCAACAATTGTCTTAAGACTAAGATTTTTTGTATGTCTTAGGTATCATATAAGTGAATTACAACCTATATCGATAATTCTAATATGTTTTTTTAATTATAATGTTTCGATAAGTGTTGAGTTAAAAAATACTAGCGGATAGATACATTTATATTTGGGGTTTTATTAGAAAAGATCTTTGAAATTGACCCACTAAATTAAAATATGATTTAAAATTTAAAATCGATGAACATAGTTCTTGAATATAGGTGGCCATCCTTCTCAAGTAATTACCCCAAAACTAAGCAGTAACAAATTGACGAAACATACCCGAAAGGCCCGAAACTGAACCCGAAATCCAAATCCAGCAAGAAAATTACCGCGCCCCGAAACACGCAAACTGATTCGGGAATTGGGAATCCAAAAATCAGGAATCCAAATCCGAGAAGTGTTCGGTTTCGGAGTTCAAATCCGAAAGTGTTCTGTTTCGGCTCCGAAACAGTTCACTATAAATGCAGAGCCAATCAAGCCACTCTGCAAATTCTCACAGTAAAATTTTCAAGTCTCTGAGATAATCTCGCCGTAACGTAAAAAATCGCGTCAGAAAATTTTCAAACTTTCAAATTTCGCATTGATTAATTACAGAATTAAAACGTTAAAATTGTTTGATTGCTGCTTGTTCAAATTCCCAATCCCTCCGACTCCCTTTTTTTTTTTTTTTTTTCTATCGAGAGCTTTTGTTATGGAGTCGGCGGAGGCGAAGCGGATATCGGAGCCGGAGGAGGAGTTGGTGGTGAAGTGCTACTGCTGCGGTTTGACGGAGGAGTGCACGCCGGCGTACGTGGCGACCGTTAAGGAGAGGCACCAGGGTCGGTGGATTTGCGGGCTCTGCGCTGAGGCGATCAAGGACGAGAACTCGAGGTCGTCAAGGAAGATCAGCACGGAGGAGGCGATGAAGCGGCACGTCAGCTTCTACGAGGAGTTCCGGATGTCGAGTCCTCCGGCCAAGCCGACGGAAGATCTTATATCCGCGATGAAGCAACTGTTGCGGCGGACTAAGGATTCGCCGAGGAGGGAGAGGCTGGGTGACTGCCGGCCGGGGATGGTGAGGTCAAAGAGCTGCTTTGCGACAGTGGGGAAGGCGCAGGGAGATTGATTCCTTAGAAGCAAGATTAATGGAGTTTAGGAGTTGACTGAGAAACTAATAATAAGGATTAGGGATGAGATTAGTGGGATTGGGTTAACTGATACAGTAAGATCTTTTTTTCACTTGATTAATTAGATTTAAGTGGTTTTTGTTTGATTAATGTTTGTGGATTAGGTCTGATAATTGACAGAAATTGAGATTAAGGACGGAGAGTTCCAAGTTTTCCATTCATATTCGTTAACATTATCAAATTTACATGTACAACTTCTTTCTCCAAGTTCCTTTACATATATGCTATTTTTTTCACATTTTATATTTAGAGTTTGTTCAGAATTGCTTTTAAAATGACTGAATGAGTTTTTGATGTAAATATTTGTGGAACAAAATTCTTAGCAAAAATACAAATGAACCCTAAGAAAACACTTAAATGCTTTTGGAAACAAGAAAAAAACATTTTATTTAAAAACGTCTTCAATAATTTCAAAAGCACTTCCGATCGAGCTCTTATTATTGTTTGTTTTTGGTAATTAAACTAGAATCACAAGATACAAGAGGGCGCCTTGGAGTGTAAGTTTTGTGCAAAGTGAGTATTTTGGTCGGTTTTGTTACGTGGTGATTTAAGGCTCTCGAGTCTATAGTTTGTATACAATTATGTACTTATTTCTGGCGTTTTCATTCAATTACTTTCCTATATCCAACGTTTGATTATAGGAATGTGTTATTCACACATTCTTTTTTTACTTCTCACACATCCTCTTAATTTGCGACCGTCAAATCAAAAGAGTTAAAAAAGATTAAATGATATAAATTAATAAAGAGTATGTAAGAAGTAAAAAAGAAAAAAAATGTGCGGATAGAACGTTGCTTGATTATAATAAGCCTTGTGATGATAACGATATACAAACTGATGGTCATCGGGTATGAGTTAAGGATGGTCATCTGATACCGGGTGGATTGGTGGTTGTACTCATGTAGGCTTGGATCATTATTTTCCATAATAATATACAATTTTAAGACTAAAATAAATCCTAATGACGCTCTTAGCGGGCCCCTAACCTTGATTTGTTGGAAGAGATCATCATTGAAGTTCAAGGATAATGATGGAGTGCTGTCCTTGTCCACGGCTTGCTTAAGGTATTGTTTTTCATGATGGAATATTTGGGTAGTGGATATTCCTTGAAAATAATTGCATCGAACCAACCAAACTCGCATGTGCAAATCATAAAATCCTACCACACAATCGTATTGATTTCGTCAAAAGATAAAGTTGAATTACGCTATTATTGTTAGTTCATTATAAAGTTTAGCACGTATCAGGTATATAAATATGATTGTTTTCTCTTATTTGTTAGAGAAAAAGGGGATGAAATGAAACTACTTTGCTAAGAGGATTCTCAAATCATGTTCGTTTATCATATATCGTGTGATCAATTTTTATCAAGTACTACTCATATTTAATTTAAAATAAAAATATTTAAAATAATTTCTGATCCTCTGAATCCTTAAAAAGAAGATCCGGAAAGAATCCTTACAAGGAAGATCCGAATAGCATCCTCGTCATTCACTACTTTGGGCCTTTGTTTGGGGTGTTCAGATTAGATGGCACTTTTGGTCCGTAAAGTGTACTGTCTGCAGTACAGTCTTGAGCATCTTCGACCCTTGTACTGCATTTTGGGTTTTTTTCTTACGACAAAATTGCCATCAAGCCCAAATCCATATTTTAATTAATTAATTAACTATTTCCAACCAAAATATTGCAATAAATAAAAAATAAAAAATGAAAAAGCAACAACAACCGGTCAAAATCATCCTCGCTGGGGGTCCGTTTTAACCCATGCTTAGCGGGGCCCCATATTTTCCAAATTTCAAATCAGCCCCTACTGTTAATCACAATGAATCGAGACATTAATCATCCCGCAAAATTAGGAAAGAACGTCCAGATACCCGCAGAGATAAAACCGTAAATAATAACAACTCCGAGGGTGCATCCCAACGCACATCTCGTACCAAACAATATAGTTGTACTACACTCCAAACGGATCGAAATTTCCATCCAATAATTTTCGTTTTTCTAAATTTCTTACCCATACGTCTTCCGCAAGTTTTCTTCTCCAAAATCCACCCCCCTCCCCCCCCCCCCCAACCCAAAAAATCCGCTGCTCCGACTTTCTCTCTCTCTCTCTCTCTAGAAATCGGAGAAGATGATGCACATGACCTTCTACTGGAGCCGGCAGGTTACGCTCCTCTTCGACTCGTGGAAAACCGACACGTGGACGAGCTACTCGCTCACGCTGCTCGCCTGCCTCCTCGTACCGGCCTTCTACCAGTACCTCGAGAACCTGCGGGTGCGGATCAAGCGCGCAGCCTCCTCGTCTTCCCCGAAATCGGAGTCCGACGCGCCGATCCGGACCCCGCTGCTCGCCGCCAAGCTGGGCGGCGCCGGAGGAAGGTTCTCGGCGGGGCGGCTGGCGGAGAGCGTGCTTTTCGGAGTCAACTCGGCGATCGGGTACATGATTATGCTGGCGATCATGTCGTTTAACGGCGGAGTGTTCGTGGCCATCGTTGTGGGGCTGGCGATTGGTTACTTGGCGTTTCGGAGTGGGGACGATGAGGTGGCGGGTGCGGTGGTGGAGACTGATAATCCGTGTGCGTGTGCTTAGAATTTTCTTGTATTATTGTGGTTGTTTGTAATATATGCGTTGCTTTGTATTTAATGGTAAGTCGGCAGATCTGCTTTCATTTTGTTCATCTTTTGCTTTTCAAATTTGAATTTTCCGAATCTGCTGTGCTGATGATGATGATGCCGTTGTTCGGCGGGGCTGTGGTTTTGGCGCCGGGTTTTGGTCAGTTTTCCGGAGTTTATAGGACGTTTTCAGGAGAGATTTTTCCAAGTAGCCAGTTTTCAAACAGATACTCCACGGGTCACAAGACAAGCAAATACTCCATGTGTTATAATACAAGCCAAGAAAGGATATGCCTTTCATGTCCGTCCATATGTCATAATACAAGCGAAGGTCAATCTTGAGTCTTCCTTGGATCAATTGAGAATGCCGCATGTTGGCTCGAATACAAAGTTCCAACCTCATCATCTACAGATCTCTTGTCGAGACTTGTTCTTTGCATCTTCCTTGGTTGCTGATGGCTGCGGCGACGGTCCTTGCAGCACAGTGAGTAGTTAGGGTTACTAGGGTTTGATCTTCTATTTTGGGTTTAAATCCTTGGCTTGGGTCCCTTTGTTTTGTTGCTTGACCGGTCATACAAAATTACCAGAAAAAAAAAACACCCGAGTACATAACAATAAAAGGTTTGGGAACAACATCATGACATTCCTAATAAGCGATCAAATCAGGACTTCTCTCTACACGTAAAATGTACAAACTTGACAAATCCACCTTTGCATAATCACAACTTCTACACCAAACTATCTCTAACCAACCCATCTACCACAACAATTTCAATCAGTCTCAATATGGAACAAGTAGAATTTGAACATGTTAGTCACATCGGAATTACCGTGGAGAGGAGGAGCGCAATCGACTCTGCACTGATGTACTTCGTTGTGTTCCTCTTCCGTTCATTCCATCCTCGGTTAAGTTAATGGGATAATGTTGAAAAAATGGGCAAGTCAAAATATGTCCAACTGGCTAGTGCTCATCTTCAATTGTCAGCGCCACTAGTTCACTCTCTTGCTGTTGGTTCCTAAACTTTGAACTGTTGGGAAACCATCTTTTAAGCCTGTCTGGCCAGAACCTAATGGTTTACAAACACAATCATTCACTTAAGTAAGAATAATGCATCCTAAACCCGATCTCTAAACCTCAACAATAGTGATCACAATAAAATCCGATCTTAAGTATTGAGAGATTGATATTGGAAAAAACACAAAGCAACTGTGACTTACAAATCCAATCTTTCATATATTGCCCGTCGTACTGAGGAGTTCAAGCCATAGGCTATGGAGTTGAACAGGCCCTGTAACAAGTATAAAAGTAATAAATTTCATCAGGATAATAAAAAAACTAATAAACTAGAACCCATTTAGATATGAACAATGTTCTTCGAAACGTGAATTGACCATTGTACCAAAAAAAAGAAACTAACTTGCCATAGAAAATTAGTAAGTTACCATGAGTGAAGCTGTCCCAACATCAAGAACAGAGAGCCAAAATATTTTATGACTTGGTTCAATAAAGTCATGAATGCGGTTGATTGTGCTAAAGGCCCATGATCCTATCAGGATGAGCGGATAGTACCCCCACCGGTTCAAAGCCTGTTGAATCAAAGCAATGGAATACAATTAAGATGAACAGTTGAAGGTACTTTTTTAAAGAGAAACTATTGAATGTACAGTTAAACAATCTAACGTACATGTAACATGAGACCACTAAAACATCATAAATATAAAACTTCCACATTTCTGTGCCTATATATATACGAACTCAGTCTGAGTCTGACCCTAGGAAACCAGTTGCAGCACAAAATACCTTCATTTCTGCTCTAGAATCTGATTGGTAAGTCCGATCTGACATGCCAGCTGCCATCTATAATTTCCAAACCAGAATAATGATCTCAACAAGTGTAAAAGTGAGTGGAAATTATTTGTTCGCAAAAAAATAAATGCTAGTGAGAATACATACACGTCTCGCATTCTTCAGCATGCTTATCACTTGAAAATATGTAAAACCATTGTAAAGAATTGCACCCCAAAGTGGCATATAAAATGTTACAAGGTGAAGCGCCTGTAAAAATGGGTGGAAAAATTAGAGCACAGAGAAGAAAACTTAATTACATCAGGAAGCTACAGTCAGAACTCCAAATGAGCGAATTGTGTAATAATGACTTGAGGTAGTTCTAAATTCTAATACAAATGACGCTTAGATTTGTAAAGATAAAACTTGTTTAGAATCTACAACACATATATCAAGAATTAATGAAATACAGCTATCAAAATTTAGAACTACGACATATTAAAACATTGATAAATCTTCATGATCAACTTAGTCTCAGTGTAGATATTGCTGTTCATGCAGTTATACCATGAGTAGGGCATAGATTTTACTCCATTAACATTTTTACATTTTTAATCTAAAGTTATGGTATCTTGCCAACAAATCGATAAATACAGCATCGATGACAGCAGCTTCCACATTCCAAATGTTCTCCCAGACATCATAAAAAATTCTTCACTTCCCCTCTATTTTTCATAAAGCACGGTGCACTACAATAATAAGCACACGACCAACTTTTTTACAAAAGAAATCTAGAAATTCCTATGGCCTAGGAAAGTAAAACATTTCAACTAATAGGTACCATGTCCTTACCTTTCCAGCACGCCCTGATTGTGACCAACACCATGTACCTAGGTGGCTATGGTTATTCCCAATAGAGCGCACAACTGTCACAACTAATGAAGTCCCTGTGAAGAGGAGAAAAAGAAGCAAATGAATTCTAATGAGCCTCACAAATTATACATAACGAAAACCAAATTTATCAGATAGAAAATAACTCCTTTTTCTAAAACCATTATTCTATCTCTCATCGGAGGAACAGAAGAAGAAGCTAACTCAACATCACTAAAAGAAAAACGAGAGATCTTTTGGCAACAGGTAAAAAGGTCATACCCCAAACATACAAATGAAACATTGCCTCCATATCTTCAACATCAGTTTTGTGTCTAACAACTGTGCGGTGCAGTGTAAAAGCGATCGTGGTAGTCCATAAGAAAGATGCTACATAGAAGAAATGAGTACTGTAGCCGTGCAAGTAACAGAAAAATCCTCTGGATGGATCCCTGCGCACGAAAGCAACTTACTTTATAATCGCTTAGAACCCCAATCAGATAAAATTGTTGCATTATCCAAATGCACTTGTCTGGGAGGGAAAAGTGAGCTTACCCAACCATGCTGAAGAAGCTACAAAGCATATCCTGCATTCCAAAATAACAATAGCAATAAAATTTCCAACTTTTTTTTTTTACTTCCATTTTCTTCAAAATTTAAGTCAAACACTGAAGAAGAACAAAGCCCTAAACCCTAATTTATCTTGAATCCTTCAAGGTCAATCCACTATACAAAGCCAAGAGCTTCAAATTTTTCTAGCGATTTTAAACTAAAAATTAAATCCAAAATTTTATAGATTTTTGTTCAATTTCCGAGTTTTTACAAGTTTGCAGAAATAGAACACACCCCCCCGCCCCTGGAAATCGAGCAATTAGATCTAAAGACGCAATCAATTCTTATCACTTTTCAGCAAAATTTAGAGAGAGATAGAGGAAGTACGGAGAGCGCGAGGTAGAAGACGAGCTTGAAGGAGAACTTGCGGAGCTCTTTGAAGAGGACGTAGCAGAGGACGATGAACCCCGACCCGGCGAACGAGAGGCTCGCCGCTCCGGCGTTAACTGCTGTCAAGACTTCGCGATCGTACGCTGTCAGACCTCCGGCGACTTGCCCCGTCGCCGCCATTTGATCGCGCCAATAGTCTCAAATACACGGTCGGCCTCAGAGAAACTTCAAAACGCTCCGTATTGTGTTTTGAGTTGACGGCAGTGCTCGCTTCTTCGGTCTGCTGCATTAATTCCACGTGACAGACGAAGGAAATGACTTGTTTTTTACGTGTTTAATTACAAATTTAGACTCGTATTGATTTGTATCCAAAATGATTCCCGTTGGCAAATCTGTCAATTTTAATTGTATCCTGTTCATGTTTGTGGCCTATTTAAGGGTGTTTTTAGAACGACCAAAAGTATTATAGCAAAATAAAAATATTTTATAATATTTTTTGATAGAAAAAGTTATAGGTGGACAACATTTTTCAAATGCTTTTAGATAAGCACTGGATGCGGTTCTATCGGAAACGCCTTTAACAAAAACGTGGTCCGACTCAAAAGCTTATGCATAATTATTTTTAATAATTTTGTTTGAATTGGTTTTAGAAAGATTAAAGCACTTCCCAATTGCTTTTGACAGAAAACTAAAAGCACTTACAAATTATATAATTGCTTCCAGAAAAATTGCCTATTAGATACTTCTTCATGAAAAAAGATGCTTCTTAGGGAATCACTTGAATGTTTAATAAACAATTTAACGAGTTTTTTTTTTCTTAAATACTTAAAGTATACTTATGAACAAAAGTATTTCTTACAATAAAATATATTCAGACGAACCTGATATTTCATCATTTTAGACTTCTGAAAAGGAATATATACCCCCAAACTTCATCTCAACTGGTCGTTAACCAATTCTTCAATTTAGTTCTCAAAGTATATTCTTGGCTTCTCAAGGAAACCCATGATAATTTCTAACTAATATTATAGTGAATACTAATAAATATTGAAGTTAGGGTCCCACCTGGAGATGGACAGTTTTCAAGGAAGGAATTGTTTGGGGCAGTTGTTAAAATTCCCGATTAGGTTTCTGTCTACTCTCAATCAAATGTTTCATTTCTTTAACCAACCAGATAGATCATTAATGCACATGATATCATTATTTTAATTATAGTTTGTAAAAAAAAAAAGTTTTTTTTTTTTTTTTTTTTTATAACGAACCATAATTTGACATATGCGCATACATTTTTCAAAGAGTGACTTCATTGCGTATTTATGTTAGTTTGTGATTTGCATGTCATGAAGAATGACACTCATACATGAAAGAAGCCAAACAATATTTATTATGACAACAAGTGTTTAAACTTTTCGTTTTGTGTTTTTAACGAATCATTTTTAGTATATGCCAATTAATAATTTGTAAGTCATAAAAAATGACTCATTACATATAATAAAGCCAAACAATATGCATTAGTGTAGAAACTTTATATTTTGTAGTCTTATGGAGTCACACATATATGTCAAACTTGTATAATAATTGAACGCCTTGTCTTTCTTAAATGGTAAGGCTTGATTTTTTTCCCTTTTACACGTAATTACTTTACTTGATTTGATTGACTTGGAATCATCGTATAATTAAGCTTCCTTTACTTTACTTGATTAACTTGGAATCATCATGTATATTTAAGTTGGATAGAAGAGAGCCAATGCCGCAAACCATCCTGCATTTCTTGTTCATCATTTCTTCTTCCTCCGTCAACCAAATTCTGAGGCTGAAAAAATGGCAGACGGCATCATTTCCATGCTACTGGATCGGCTGGCTTCAATAGCGTATGAGTACGTTGACGAGGAGGTGAAACTTGTTTTGAATGCCAAGAAAGATGTTGAAGAATTTGCTGGCAATCTCAATGCTATTCAAGCCGTTCTCGAAGATGCGGAGCAAAGGCAAGTGAAGGAGGCCAGCGTGAGGACCTGGTTGGATCAGCTCAAAGACATATCCTTCGAGATGGTGGACGTGCTGGACGAGTGGAACACTGACATGCTAAGACAGGAGGTTGAGAAGCAAGAACGAGAAGGTGAAAATGCTGTTGCTAACAAGCAGAAGAAGAAAAAGGTACCTCTCTATGTTTCCCGTAGTTGCTTTTGTTTTCGCAAAGCCAGAGAGGTAACTTTTCGCCATGACATTGCAAGTAAGATAAAAGATTTGAATGGTAGGCTAAGTGCGATTGATGAGCAAAGAAAAAGGTATAAGTTTAAACACATAGAAAGAGTCATTCAAGAAATACCTGATCGACGGAAGACTTCGTCTTTTGTCGTCGATTCAGACGTATTTGGTCGAGCAAAGGAAAAAGACATTCTGATCACAAAGTTGTTGAGTGATTGGAAGGGGCTCCTTATCATCCCTATTCTAGGGATGGGAGGAATGGGGAAGACAACTTTGGCCCAACTAGTTTATAATGATGTCACAGTTAAAACCTATTTTGAAAAGAGAGTGTGGGTTTGTGTCTCAGACCCCTTTGATGAGGTTAAGATTGCCAAATCCATAAGTGGTGATGAAGACTCAAGGTCAAATGAGTTGGATCATGTCCTGCAATCCATGTTAAGATCCATCGAGGGCAAAAGGTTTCTCCTTGTCCTAGATGATGTGTGGAGCAACGACAGTGAAAAGTGGGAACGCTTAAGGGCACCACTAATCCAAAGTGGTGATCATGGCAGTAGAATTTTGGTGACCACGAGAAAGCATGAGGTTGTTGATATGATGAGAGCAACAAGTGACATGATTAATTTGGGAGAGCTAAGTGAAGAATATTGTTTGTCAATCTTCAATCACATGGCATTTTCTGATAGAGGAGTAGATGAGTCTAAGGCGTTCGAAGATATTAGTAAAAAAATTGTAGGAAAATGTAAAGGTTTGCCTCTTGCTGCAAAAGCTTTAGGCAGTCTCATGCACAACAAGAGAACAAGGAGGGAATGGCTAAATGTTTTAAATAGTAAGATATGGGATCAAGAAGAGGTGGAGCAAAAAGTTTTCAAACCGCTACTACTAAGTTATTATGATTTGGCCCCGTCAATTAAATGTTGCCTTTTATATTGTGCTAGTTTTCCTAAAGATTATGAGTTTCAGAGAGATGAATTGATTGATCTATGGATGGCACACGATTATCTTAATTCAAAAGAGAATAAAGATAGAGAAGTTGGTGAAGCATTTTTTGATAACTTAGTAGCACGGTCTTTTTTTCAAGATTTGGTGAAAGATAGTGTTAGTGGAAAAATTAGAAGTTGCAAGATGCATGATATTGTTCACGACTTTGTGCAATCTCTCACCAAGAATGAATGTTTGATTATCGATGTTGAGGGTGTTGGCGATGAAATAGAGGTTATGAGTAAAAAGGCTCGCCATTTAACCTTAAGATTGAAATATGATGAGCCACTCCCACCTTCTAATGCATATTTCAAAAATCTGCATACAATCACAATTCTTCCTCCATCCTTTCCTGAAACCATGACCGTAGACTCCAATTTTATTTTGCAATTGAAATGTCTTAGGACATTAAATTTGAGTTACGTTGGCATAAGTGAAGTCCCAGATGAAATTGGTGAATTGATACATTTGAGGTATATTGATTTGTCATGGAATGATGGTTTGAAAACATTGCCGGACAGTATCTGTGAGTTGTACAATTTGTATACCTTGCGCCTTTGTTGCTGTGAGCAATTTGAAAAACTACCTGATAACATGGGAAGGTTGATTAGCTTAAAGCATCTTTATGTTGATGGTTGTGTTTCGCTGGAGTACATGCCAAAAGGGATTCGTAGATTAAAGAAATTGAAAAGAATTGATGAGTGTGTTGTGGTTTGTGGTGAGGATGAGAACAAAGCAGCATTACAATTGGGAGATCTGAAAGTCTTGAACCTTGAGGGCAGTCTCAACATAAGTTTGCAGGGGAATGTGAAAGATGAGAATGAGCTCGAGAAAGCACAGTTGTGGCACATGAACCAACTCTTTCATCTGCGAATTACTTGTCTGGATGTCCAATACAAGCAGCAAGCAAGAAGCACTGTTGAAATACTGAATGTCTTACGACCGCACGAAAATCTGGAATCTTTAGACATTTCTCATCATTCGGGCACCACCTGCCCCAATTGGATGATGTCTTTGCAAAACTTAAGAATCATCCGTCTAAATGAGTGGTATAATTGTGAGTTTTTGCCTCCTCTTGGGAAATTGCCATACCTTGAAGAACTATCTCTGTGGAGTATGCAAAAGGTGAAAAGGATTGGTGGTGAGTTTTTGGGAATAGTCGACCAAGATTACGCAACGTCATTGAAATCATCATCATCATCATCATCATCCTCATTTTTCCCAAAGTTGAAACAACTCATAATTTACGACATGAATGCCTTGGAAGAGTGGGAAGTAGGCGTGGAAGGGTGGAACAAAGAGGATTCTGAAACTTCAATCATGCCATGCCTTTCCTCCGTAGCAATTGTGGATTGTCGACGCCTCAAAACACTGCCAGACTTCCTCTGCAAAACACCGGTGCAAGAGCTTATCATTCGGGGTTGTCCGAATCTTTCAGAGCGTTGTGAACAAGGCAGTGGAGAGGAGTGGCCCAAGATTTCTCACATCCCAAACATCAAAATCTGATCATAAATCTGGTAACTAAGCTCTACTTATCTTATTTACGCATTTATTTATGTATCAATAACAAATGCTATTATCATATTTGTTTAATTTGCTTATTTTTATTCTTCATAGGATATAAGAGGTGACTCGCGATCTAGGCATATATATTTAATTTCTTTGGAAAGGTATTTCTCTTCTTTTATATATATAAAAAATAACTAATGGTTATTTGTCATTCACAACCAAAGTTTCCTTGCAAATGCAGCAATTGGCGTCCTCTCCGAGCTTCTTCAACCCTTGGTCCGTGATCGTGATCACCGGAAGATTGGCCACTACCTGTTTGCTCGCAGGCGGGGCCCTCGGAGCCGCCCACACGTCATCCAAAATCCCCGGCCGCAAAACGCTGTCGAGGTTGTCAATGAGCGACTGAAGTAGATTTACCGAGCTTTCCGAGTTCTCTTCGTTTCCGGGACCCGACTCATAAGGGCGCGGCCTCCTCGTCTTCCCTGAAATCCGCCGAGTCAACGCGGCGATCGGGAACATGATTATGCTGGCAAACAAGTCGTTTAACGGCATTGGTTGGCGTTTCGGAGTTGTGGCGTTGGATACTGATAGTCCGTGTGCGTGTGCTTAGAGATTTATCGGGTGGATTTAGTAATTTTATAGAAAGGATTCTATAGGCTGCAGCTTGCTTTTGCCAATTTGCATTTGCTTTCTATAAAAATCTTGTATTATTGATGCTGTTTGTAATTTACACGTTGCTTGAGTTCTAAGCAGAAGGAATACTTCGTCTACGATTTGGATGTTAAGTGCAAAAATTCGCCATCTTCAATCTTCACGAATTTGTACCTATAAAACAATTAAACATCTTTGATCAATGACCAAAGACGCGCCCACAGAGTGTTGGGTTTGGCCAATAGCTCTAGATACCTAAGTCAAGTTTATTTTAAAAGGAGGAGGGTTTAGGAATAATTGCGTAGCAAAAGCTTCTAGAAATTGGTAAAAATGAGATCAATTTTCACCTTTTCTTGGATTCATTGATAATGACACAGTTTGGCTCAGGTACGAAGCGCCAACCCCATCCTCTTTGTCGACGCTTGTTCTTGGGACAACATTGTGAAATTCCTAATCAAAGACCAATCAAGACTTTTCTCTACAGGTAAAATTGTACAGCTTGACAAATCCATCTTTGCATAATCACAGCTTCTGCACGAAATTCTACTCTAACCAAACCATCTACGGATAAATCTACCAGAACAATTTCAACCAGTCCTAATGTGGAACAAGTAGCATTTGAAGATGTTAGTCAGATCGGAATTGCCATGGAGAGGAGGAGCGCAATCAACTCTGTACTGACGTACCTAGCTGTGCTCCTCTTCCGTTTCTTCATTCCATCCTCAGTTAAGTTAATGAGATAATGTTGAAAAAATGGGCAAGTCAAAATACGTCCAACTTGCTGGTGCGATCTTCAATTTTCAGCGCCACTAGTTCACTCCTTTGCTGTTGGTTCCTAAACTTTGAACTGCTGGGGAACCATATTTTAAGCCTGTTTGGCCAAAACCTAATGGTTTCCGAACACAACCATTCAGTTAAGAACAATGCATCCTAAACCCGATATCTAAAAGACTAAAACTCAACAACAGTGATCACAATAAAATCCGATCTTAACCATCGAGAGATTGATATTGGAAAAAAACACAAAACAAACGTGACTTACGAATCCAATCTTTCATATATTGCCTGTCGCACTGAGGAGTTCAAGCCGTAGGGAGTTGAACAGGTCCTATAACAAGTATAAAAGTAATAAAATTTCATCAGGATAATTAAAAAAAAAACCAGTAAACTAGACCACAATTATGCATGAACAATGTTCTTTGGAACACAAAATGCCCATTATACCAGAAAAAGGTACTAACTTGCCATAGAAAATTAGCAAGTTACCGTGAGTCCAGCTGTCCCAACATCAAGAACTGAGAGCCAAAACATTTTATGACCTTGTTCAATATAGTCATGAATGCCGTTGATTGTGCCAAAAGCCCATGATCCTATCAGGATGAGTGGATAGTACCCCCACCAGTTCAAAGCCTGTTGAATGAAAGCAATGGAAAACAATTAACATGAACTGCTATTGAATGTACATTTAAATGGTCTATAACAAAGTCTGAGTCTGACCCTAGGAAACCAGTTGCAGCACAATACACCTTCATTTCTGCTCTTGAATCTGATTGGTAAACCGAATCTGACATGCCAGCCGCCCTCTATAATTTCCAAACCAGAATAATGATCTCAACAAGTGTAAAAGTGAGTGGAATTATTTGTCCGAAAAAACAAATGACAGCACCAATACATACATGTCTTGCATTCTTCAGCACGCTTATCACTTGAAAATATGTAAAACCATTGTACAGAACTGCACCCCAAAGTGGCATGTGAAATGTTATGAGGTTGAGCGCCTGTAAAAATGGGCGGAAAAATCAGAGCACAGTGAAGAAAACTTAATTACATCAGACAGCTATAGTCAGAACTCTAAATGACCGAATTGTGCAATGCTGACTTGACGTAGTTCTAGTACAAATGATGCTTTGATTTGTACAGATAAAACTTGTTTAGAATCTACAACACAGTGTAGATATTGTTATTCATGCAGTTATACCATGAGTAGGGCATAGATTTTACTCCATTATCATTGGTTATACATTTTTAATCTAAAGTTATGGTATCTTGCCAACAAATCGATAAATATAGTATCGATGACAGCAGCTTCCAAATTCCCCTCTGTAAAAATCCTCCCACATATCATATAAAAAATCCTCACTTCCCCTCTATTTTTTTTTTTTTTATAAGCACGACGCACTGCAATAATAAGCACACAACCAACTTTTTGCAAAAGAATTCTAGAAATTCCCATGGTCTAGGAAACTAAAACATTGCAACTAATAGGTACTATGTCCTTACCTTTCCAGTACGCCCTGATTGTGACCAACACCATGTACCTAGGTGGCCATGGTTATTCCCAATAGAGCACACAACTGTCACAACTAATGAAGTCCCAGTGAAGAGGAGAAAAAGAAGCAAATGAACTCTAATGAGCTTCGAAAATTATACATAATGAAAACAGAATATAGCATTTAGAAATAACTCCTTTCTCTAAAACCCTTATTCTATCTCTCACTGGAGGAACAGAAGAAGAAGCTAACTCAACATCACTGAAAGTAAAACGAGAGATCTTTTGCAACAGGTAAAATGGTCATACCCCAAACATACAAATGAAACATTGCCTCCATATCTTCAACATCAGTTTTGTGTCTAACAACTGTGCGGTGGAGTGTAAAAGCGAACGTGTTGGTCCATAAGAAAGACGCTATACGGAAGAAATGAGTACCGTAGCCGTGCGAGTAACAGAAAAATCCTCCGGATGGATCCCTGCGCATGAAAGCAACTTACTTTATAACCGCTTAGAACCCGGATCAGATAAAAAATTTATATTATCCAAATGCACTTCTCTGGGAGGGAAAAATGAGCTTACCCAACCATGCTGAAGAAGCTACAAAGCATATCCTGCATTCCAAAATAACAATAACAATAAAGTTTCCATTTCTTTAAACTTCCAGTTTATTCAAAATTTGAGTTAAACACTGAAGAACAACAAAGCCCTAAACCCCTAAAATTTATCTTGAATCCTTCAAGCTCAAGTCACCAAGGTAAATCCATTATATAAAGCTAAGAGCTTCCCATTTTTCTAGCAATTTAAAGAAATTAAATCCATTTATAGACTTTGTTCAATTTCCGAGTTTTTACAAGTTTCCAGTAATAGGACACACCACGTCACCGGCAATCGAGCAATCAGATCTAACAAACGCAATCAATTCTTATCATTTTCAGCAAAGTTTAGAGAGAGAGAGAGGACGTACGGAGAGCGCGAGATAGAAGACGCGCTTGAAGGAGAACTTGCGGAGCTCTTTGAAGAGGACGATGAACCCCGACCCGACGAACGAGAGGCTCGCCGCACCGGCGTTAACTGCCGTCAAGACTTCGCGATCGTAGGCCGTCAGACCTCCAGCGACTTGCCCCGTCGCCGCCATTTTGTTCTCTCACTCTCTCGATCGCGCCGATAAAGTCTCAAATAACTCGCCCTCATACTCTCGGTACACAGGAACTTCAAAACGCTCCGTTTTTGTACTTTGAGTCGTGACGGCGGTGGTCGCTATTTGCGTCTGCCGCTTTAATTTCGTGGAAGGATACGAGTTATTTATTACATGTTTAATTACAAATTTAGACTATTGATTTGTGATTCATGATGCCAAATGTGTCAATTTCTATTTTCTTGAGACCATTTTTGGTGTTTTAACTTTCAACTATTTATGTTTTTGGTGATTATATCGTGTTCATGTTTACGTCTTATTTAACAATGTTTTTAGAATAGCTAAAAGCTTTACCGTCAAACAAAAATATTTTATGATATCGTCATATAAAAAAAGTTCCAGGTGAAAAGCACTTTTCAATGCTTTTAAAAGTGCCGACGTGCTTCTACCACAAACGCTTATAACAAAAGTGTGGTGCGGGTTAAAAAACTCCATGCATAACCACTTCTAATGACATTGCGTGATATTTAGGGATGACAATTCTAATCGTTAAACCCGATAATTATAGATAATCGTCCGAATGGATTGGATTTGGGTATGAAAATTCGGATATATTTTGGACATGGGAAAAAACCGTGAATAATATTCGGTTATGGTTTTGGATATGGTTATAGGGATCCCCAATCCGTATCCGTCCTCGAATCCAAACCGAATTATATATAATATAATTATATACTTATAATATAATTATTGGATATAATTATATATAATATAATGGTTTTGGATATAGTATTTATATATTCGGTTATGGTTTTGGATCTAATTATTCATTTAATCCATTACCTTGAGAATACAAAAGTTGCATTTTGTGGGCAAGTTAAAAAGTTTTGATATGAATCAAAATCTATGAGAATCCAAACCAATAGTACTTATGGGAGATATCAAAGATCAGCCAACATTATCAAAGTTTAGCTTTAATTTTTATGTTCAACAAGATCCATTCATTAAATTATTTTATACATCAAATATTTAATGGTAAAATTAATATTTACTAAATTATCATGCATCAATTGAAAGAATATATTTTTTGTATTGACGAAGATGGGTATAATTGTTAACCGATGGGGAATCCGTTACCCAATAGGTGTGGTTATGGATAATACCCGATGATTAATTGGCAGTTATAAATATGGTTAATTTTCATGATTGTGGGGATGGATATAGCATTTTCGGCCCCAAGTTGAACCGTTACCATCCCTAGCGAGACTGTTTCCAAAAAAATCGCCTATTAGATGCTCTTCTCCATGAAAAAAAAAATCTAGTAAATACTTCTTAAGGAGTCACTTGACTTTTGAATAAACATTTTAACTATTTTTTCCTAAAATACTTATAGTAAAAACGTTTATAAGCATAAGTGTTTCCTACAAAAAAAAAAATGTATCCAAACGAGCCCGAAATTTCACCATTTTAGACTTATGAAAGGGAATATATACCATGTGAAACTTTGTTCAAAGTAGTGTTTAAAATTTCTTCGATACGGTCGATATTTCTATGGAAATTATCCAAAAAATCAGAGAACGATATGGAAATGCGAAGTGAAGTCTAAATTTTACCTCATAGTGTTTAGACTAAAATTGATAGATATCATCGACATTTCTAACACATATGTTAAATATCGAAGAAGCTTTTTAGTCCAAACCAATGTTTGACAATCTCTAAAGTTTTATTTTAAATTTCCATCATCTCCATCGAAAACAATCGATATCA